ACCTTAAAGCTACCATGGGGCCTTTAAAGGGTCCGAAATGTTGGTATGTTTTAGAACAAGCATACACAATTTCCAAAATATTGCGATACTTTCAAATTTAGTAGTATAATAGCGTTTAAGCGTTTACGCTGTTGTAGTAATCACGAAATACTACCTCAGCCCGAATTCAATTTTACCCCGTACTAATACGGTTCATTTTGCTTAGATCGAGCGGTAGGGACACTGGTTTTATTTCAGATTTTTTTTTAAACGAAACTAAAGTCATTTGAAAAATGTATATCGTATACTATACATGTTCTATTTAGTTCAGTTGATATAGAAAAAAAAATTGGTATATGTAAAGTACCTATTGTATACAGCTGTTTTCTTGTAAAATTTCGAGGTAAATTTGTGTTTTTTTTCTATCATGAAATTTATTAGGAATCGGGTTCTCACACCATATACTAATTTAATTGGTGTGTATCCTTAATTTTACCATATATTTTTTTTCCAAAGTGATAATTCAACACTTTTAATGTTATGCGGAATCAACCAAAGCCATTTGAGGTTGAATCCACTCTTAAGAAGTCGATACGTTAACTAAATATTGCAAAATTGAGTCGTAATTAATTAGACTTTACATCATACCTATAGCCGACTTATAAAGACTAGATTTGGGGCATTTCTCCAAAGCCTTCTGTGTCCGTACACTAAACTCCGCTTATTTATCAAAACAAAAATCTACAAAAAATAGAGTGTATAGTATAGGTCGAAAGCCAACTGGAGAGCACAAAGTCTTCGCAATAAACTTTTCGGACTTAAAGAAAATCCGAAATGCCTAAAACCTGACAACAGTGGCGTGTCCCGAATGCAGAATCCAACACAAAGTGTCATTTTTCTAAAAATTGAAACCGTATATCAATGTTAGACTTTAGTTCACGTATAATAAATTAGATGATAGTACTTATAATCCGAATTTCACAGTAAACTGGACCATATTTTTATCACAATACCAAGATTGCTGTGTGTCCCATGCTTATGCGGAAATTCGGTGGTCGTTACTAATCACGCTACTTAACACAAGTGAAGCGTTTTAGAAGCTTCGCAATGCGTTCGTATTATTCGTTCATCACGCCTCTTGCTGGAGAGAACTGCCGGTTTTAGGACTTTTTGCGTGTAAATATCTAATTCGGTGGATTTGGTCTAGGTCGATTTTTTAATTCGGTGTATACGATATCGCAGTAATCTCAGTACAGAGTACTAAAAAAACCGACCTCAAAAGTACGTGGAAGTACATATAATTACCAAGTTTAATTGAAATCGGTTACCGGAAAGTGCGCAAACCCGGGTTCATCCACTAGTTCGCCACTATACGAGACTTGACACAGGAGGTAATAAAAATAGGTAAAAATATAAATTGCTCCTTAGTATATAATTTAGGCGCTACTTCTAAAAATGAATCTTCATGCGTGAACAGCCACCCTTAGAGGTGGATTATTTTCTTCAAAATTAAATGGGACCACTGTAGAGGTACCCTCTTTCCAACAAGAAAAGAATTATGAAAATCGGTTCACAAATGCCGGAGTTATCGCGTAACATACATACAAAAAAAAAAGCAGTCGAATTGAGAACGTCTTCCTTTTTTGAAGTCGGTTAAAAACTAAATTTTACAATATGTGTTGTAACAACTAGAATATAATAACAATTTATTGGTTGTACGAGTATTGTCGTTTACGAGTAATATCAAAAAAATATACATTTTCTGAATCCCGTGGCCTTGGTTGCGATGGATTTTACGCTGTCGAATTAAGAAAAGCTTCCACCAAAGTCGGAAACAACTACCATCAAAGCCATATTGTCTTTGAAAAGCAAGAATTTTATACGTTTTCATATAAATGTTTTATATTACTACTTGCTTCCCGGTGAAAATGAATAAGGAAAATGAAAACAGAAAAGAAAAACTATCAAGAAGATGAAGGAATGCTAGAAAAGCAAAGATAAAAAGCAATCCAATAATATATGAAAGGTTTAAAGAAAAAGATAGACAGGGTATGCGAAAAAAAGCGGAAGGAAAGATTTTGAAGTTGTATGACTTACCTCGTAATGTATAAAAAATAATGAGATGTATTAATCGCGCAAGTTCCAAAAACATAATTGCTTTTGTAGCTATAGATTGCATTCCAAATTTTTTTTAAAAGTGATACGAAAATACTGTGTGTGATTGAAAAAAGGAACAGCCAAACTGAAAACTGATTTTATTTAACAGTCACAAGGTCAAATTTGTTTGCGCTGTTCTGACGATTTATAAATAAATTTTAGTTTTTAAAGCTTGTTTTAATAGTTTAGTCATATTAGTAAATGTGTATGTAGATTATTGAATATATTACCTTTTCCATAATATTTTATACAAAAATGTGCCTTTTGTTAAATTATTCTGATTTCGGTGGTAGCTGAATTTGGTGGATCAAATATGTCATTAACTGTTAAGAATCTAGTTGCCCAATTAACGGAATCTTATGTAAGTTTGAGTTCTTTTTCCTTCCCGCTCAATGTTTTTTCTGATATTAAGAAAAAAAATTCGACCACCTAAGTGAGAGAACATAGCCCTTCTAGGAGAAATGCCCATAGACATCACAATCGAGTTAATAAATAATAGAAAACAACTATTTTACACTCCAAGGAAAATTAATTTTACAAAATCCTTCAATAATCGCCATGACTATGTATTCTAATTTTTTTACGCAGTGGAAACTTTTAAGGCTGACCTACTTAATAGCTTTAAAACAGAAGTGAAACGCGATTTTCGCTTTGCTTTTATAAATCTGAGTTAAGCGACGATGACAAATGTACAATTTTGTGAGGCAATAAAATAATATTTATATAATTCAGTGAATAATTTTAAAGGTCCTTAATACCATCAAAATACTCAAAACATGTCCATCTCACAGTACGCGCTTTGACTAGCCATCGGAAGCTACTGAGGAGTAGGAAGAGTTGCGTCGCCTGCAGCGATTCCTACGCGAGTTTGGTTTACCATTTGGGTACCATTTGAACCATTGGACCCACGACTAAAGTTTAATCCTTAAAGGGACTGTTGTTATGAGGTGATATTTTCGAAATAAAAAAAGCGTATTTGTCAAAAAAAGAATGATCAAACTTGCGAGAATAAAATTTGATAATGAACAGCTTTCACGTTGAATCTACATTGAACTCCCAATAGAATAATCAACTATTCATACAAATTTTACTATAAGGTGATTGTTGTTAATATTTTTTTTAACTAAATTAATTTTAGTAATAATTTTATTATATAACTTATTTTAGTAACCAATAACGTGTGACTTCCTCGTCAATTATAAAAAAAAAAGTTTAGTAAATCGCTACTATTTATCACTTAGACCAGGCAATCACAAAATATAGAGGCGACCCCTGTCTAACCATGGTTGATGGATAGTGAGGCCCCCGGTCTATCGACATACAATAATATAAACCTTAATTGCACCAACGGTATTTCAATATAACCGTCAAGGGATGTGCTGTGGTATTTTCCAAATGTCAGACTATGAATACCGTAGTAGATGTTATATTTATACGTTTGGTTGTAAAATTTTGATGATATTTCGGATAAGTAACAAATGATGCCTTCGTTATATGTACAGCTACTTGACTGGTGTTGTGGGAAACAGAAACTATACATAGTGCTTGTACGTACAGTCAACGGCACAGTCAACTTTATACATTAGAAGACTTAAGACTTAAGAGCATCCTTATTAAGTGGCAAAGATTTTTTAATAAGCCAAAGGCTATTGTTTCTGCCTACTCGTGATATTACAGACACATAAGACTTGTCAACTTATGTCTCATGGTGACGGGCAGTGGCAGTGCCCCTCAGACCGCTGTGATTTAAAGCCTTGAGTAGCACTGCAGGGTAACCTATCACAAAATCGAAATCTTTTTTTCCGAAATAACGTTTGTTCGAATTTTCATTAACCCGAAAACCGAATTATAACGAAACAGTTGTTCTATCAGGATATGTTGAATGTTTATCGCAAAGACGTTTGTATTAAGTTAGGTTTAAAACAAAAAACATTGTCCTCTCAAAATTACTTTCGAGGTTATGAAATTTCGACCAAACGGGAGTACCGATAGGTAACCGCACTGCAGCAGCTATGGGCAAGCGTGTCTCTCACCACCGGGCACACGACTTGTTTGTCACCGCAAGCTTTGGCTTTGATAGCAGTGGATCTCCTTGTAAAAGAATTCGTCCAGGGAACTTCTGTCTTTTTGCCTATTTTGGCCGCCAAGCAGTACCTAATGTAAGCATTACTGCGTTTCGGCTTTGAAAGGTAAGGGTGCTGGCGAAATTACAGTCACAAAGGATTTATCAACTTATGTCTCAGGGTGACGGGCTCAGTGGCAGATCTTTGCGATTTAAAGCTCTGAATAGCACTGCGACTGTTATGCACAGGCGTGTACCTTACCTTCAGGCGCTGACTTGTTCATCCCGTTACTTGATATTATAAAAAAAAACAATAAAAACAGGGGTTTTTTCAACTTATGTCTCAGAGTGTTAGCACTGTAGCAGTGCCCTTCAGATCTTTGTGATTTAAGCTCTGAGTGGCACTGCAACTGTTTTAACGTTTTTTTAATTTAAATTGAAGAATTTCCACACGAAACCAAATACCTATTGACGTAATTCAAAATTGGGGAATTGAGAGAGCACGAATTGAAACTTAAAAAAAAAATGTGTAATCTTTTTTTAGGTCTCAGAGACACTGCCACTGAAACACAAAAAATAAACAAATCCCATGTGTCTGTTCTTACTTCACAAACAAAAACTTCACAAAGGAAGGTAAGGACCTTTCAAAACGAAATGCGGTGCTCGCATTACTGCTTAACAGAAGAAATAGGTAACGTACTATTAAACGCACGACGTGTTTCCCGTCATTTAAAAAAAGAGGGCTTGTAAGTTGTTATTGGAAGATGAATGAGCTTTTTAAGACCTGACCTTGTTTTTGTAGCACGTCGTATACTACAGCAGCGTATGGAAGTCACCAGAACGTTCTTCTAAGGCTCGACACACTCGGCAGACCACCCAGTTCCACAGGATCCTACGCCACAATAGCAAGTCTTCATAAATTTCCTTTCGGTGAGTATTAAATAAAACATCTAATCTTAACTCCGTGGCTTAGTTAGTATAGCGTTTGACACGGTATGCTAGAAGACGTCGGTGCGAATCCGGCCAGATCGAAAGAATTGTTTCTGAATGTTCGATCTTTGTATTAATAATTATAACAAACTAGTGGAGTAATTTCACATAAAAATAATTGAATATCAATTCAATAAAAATTTAAATACAATGAATAGCGACATCTCCAGCCGGGAATGGTAGCTGTAAATGTATCTAACTGGGTAACTGGGTCGCCTTGAAAAGGTCCATGTGTGCACATGGACTATTTCAAGGCGAGAGTGAATAGGCATTATTTAGGTGTGCATGATCCATCGTCGTCCTCGTCATCACTTTCCATCAGGTGAGATGGCGGTCAAATGCACTCTTACATTTGAATGTAAAAAAAAACAATAAAATCATTCGTAAAACATAAGTATGTAGCGTAAATTGGAATGTTCTTTGGAGAAAAAAAAAACAAAAATTAGGTATAATTTACAACATTTGTGACAATTATTAAAACAAAGATCGAACACTCAAAAAAAATTCATTCGATCCGGCCGGATTCGAACCGGCGTCTTCTAGCATACCGTGTCAGACGATATACCAACTACGTCGAGACGTCGGTTCGAAGACAAGAGTCGATACTACCTCAGCTCGAATTTTTCTGAATTTTTCAATTTTTCTGAAATTAATACTGACTCGGTACTAATGCACGGGTTGAGTGGCGCGGACACTGCTAATTATTTCATAATTATTTTTTTTACAAACGATATTAAAGCCATATGAAAAATTTACAGCGTACAATATACGTGTCCTGTTTAGTTCAGTTGATATAAAAAAAATATTGGTACATGTAAAATACCTATTCAATACAGCAGTTTTCTGTAAACGCACACATAAGCGCTCTGGGTCACCACGGTCTTTCCTGCCAGCTGAGCGCCGACCGTATCTCCCGGCATGTAGCCCTCAACGACGTCACCCGCTGGGCCTTAGCCACAGTTAACGTACCCGCTATACTCGAGTCAAGCGGCATGTCGCGAACAGATGGCAAACGCCCGGACGAAATAACTCTCATCCCTTGGAACATGGGCCGGGCACTGGTGTAGGACGCCACATGTGCCCGCACACTTGCTTCTTCCCATTTCCAGCACACCAGCAAGAGGGCTGGCTCCGGAGCTGAGCTGGCGGAAAAAATAAAAAGCAATAAGTACCAGGATCTCGTGTCCGACTACCTATTTATAGCCTTTGGAGTCGAAACCCTTGGCCCGTGGAGTCCCAGTGCCCTTCATCTGTAGAAAATCTAAGGGCAGCTACGCTGTCCAACACATTAGCATAGCAATACACAGGGGGAACGCTGCCAGCATCTTGGGCACATTGCCGCGGGGACCCAATTTTATTCATATAATTTAAAAATCCTAGTTTTACTTTCTAGTATTTAAGCTTTTATTGTCTTTTTTATCTTACCTGTGTATCTTGTTTAAAAATTTATCTTAATTAAATACAAAAATGACGGGACTCAAAGAATCAACGCAAAAAAAATAAGACACCAATTATATTATCATTAGCTGCTGCTTTGGGCTGCTTCAACTTTACCCCTTCGAAAATATGAATAACTTACCTCCTCCTACTCGAGGCAGTGTCTTGTACTTTCAGACAAAAATTTTTACAATTTAATGTTAATTAATTAATGAGTACCAGAAGAATTTAATCGCTACTCGGAATATCCAGACCAGAAACAATTTAGAAAAGTTAATTTTCCAAATTGGTGCTACCGGGAATTGAACCCAGGACCTCATCATCAAGCGTCCACTGTATAAGCATTTGGACCACCGAATTGAGGTTTCTTTTAATTTGTGTGTTATTATTTTTATGTAATGTTCTTCCTGAAAATTTTGGTTTTTTTTTAACTGTCGTTTTTAATCGAATCTCCTATACTATCTAGGCTAATATACTAACTAGGCTATTACTTCATCGTAAAGTTTATTTCAAGTTATTATATATTTCTTTAGGAAGCAGAAGATCTCCGTCGCCGTATGCAACTACCCATATTGGTGAACATGTCTACGCCAAACCTGAATCCAGAGTTTCATACTACGCAGCTTCGAATCTCACCCAAGTTTCACAGGTACGAATTCATATTCTTAAAATAATCATTTTTGTGTGTATAATTGATAATAAGGTGGTTTGCATAACATGCCATCTGAGTCAGCTGTGATCATGGGATCTGTAGAGTCCGAAACGTTAGTAATTTCAAAAAAACCGAATCCGAAACAATAGTTTCGAAAATGAAAAATAATATACGAATGATTGGAATGTTCATTGTTACACATGAATAAAATGAATTGACAATAATGAATTGTAAGTATATCACACAAACTAGTCTGCAGCAGGCGGCTTTATTGCTATGTAGCAATTCCTTGCAGGTAAATTTAGAACGAAATTTTTTTAATTACTACCATATCACTAACACACATTATTAAATTACCATCACTATTCACATTACTATTACACTAAATCACATTACTATCACATTTTTATTACGTTATTAACATATTACAATAGCATTTCTATCACTTTAGTAGCAGCAGAGCTCCTTATGAAAGAGTTCGTCCAGTACCCCTCAATCTTTGTGATTTAAAGCTCTGAGTAGTACAGCATCTGTTACAGACAGGCGTGTCGCTTACCATCAGGCACATGACTTGTTAGTCCCGTCACTTAACTTTTATTAAAAAAATGCTATCACGTTATATTACTATGACATTGCTATCACATTACTATTGCATTAAAATCATATTTCTATCGACTACTACCTAATAGACAATGCATTCCTGATGTTTTAAATAATTCATTGCAGCAACGTGTTTCAAAATTAATAAGCTCGCAATATCCAGGCACGAGATAAATAACCTAAAAACCTCGTTTCAGTTGAACTAATCCCATACATAGTAGTTCTGGGTCGATGCCTCTAAAAACATTTGGCATCACCCACTGAGTTACACTAGATACACGTTCAACGAATTTGTTGTCTGAATAGGTAGATTTAGTTCACTACCGCCATTTGTAGCGTTTTTCTTTTGTATAAGTTATGAAATGAAGCGATTAAAAGACCCGAACGGGTTCGATTTCATATATATATTATATATATTGTTACTATAAATTATATATATGTACGTATTTAACGACCAATACGGCTTCAGACAGGGCAAGGGTACCAGAGAGGCAATCTTGGCATTGAGGCAGATAGTAGACAGAAGGTTGGATTTGAATTTAGAGACCTATTTAGCCTTTATTGATTTAGAAAAAGCTTTTGATAGGGTGAATTGGGGGATGATGATGGAAGTGCTGAGAAGGGCCGGGATTGACTACAGGGATAGAAGAATTGTTTTTGAGCTATGTAAAAAGCAAGAAACCATCATAGAAATAGAAGAAGAAAGTAGAAAAGCAAGAATCAAACAGGGAGTACGACAGGGTTGTTCACTTTCGCCACTAATTTTCAACATTTTTATCGCAAGCGCAATACGAAAGATTTTAGAAACATCTACAGAAGGAATAAAAGTTAATGGGGACAGAGTGGTTTTTATTAGATTTGCCGATGATATCGCTGTAGTTACGGAGAGCAGAGAATAGCTGGTAGCCCTTCTCAATAGAATGAATCAGATTTTTACGGAATTCCGTTTGACAATTAATAAAAGTAAGACCAAAATATTGGTTGTCTCAAAACAACCTATCAGAGTTAACCCTATTCGTATAAATGATACTCCAGTGGAGCAGGTTCCGCATTTCAAATACCTTGGTAGCATTATTACAGAGGACTCTAAATGTACCACAGACATAAAAACCAGAGTTGCAATGGCGAAGCAGGCATTCCATAATAAAAGAAACATTCTCACATCAGGAATACCGTTGGATCTGAAAAAAAGATTTGTGAAAGCCTATGTCTGGAGCACTGCACTCTATGGATGTGAGACCTGGACCATCACAAAGAGAGACAGAGAGCGATTGGAGGCATTTGAAATGTGGTGCTGGAGACGTATGGAGAGGATAAGCTGGACCGAGAGAGTGACTAATGAGGACGTTCTGGAGAGGATTGGGGAACGGAGAGGCCTGACGGAGACGATAGAGAATAGGAGGGGAAAAATGTTTGGACATTTGTTGCGCAACGACGAACTATTGACGGTTGTTGTTGAGGGAAAGATGGAAGGAAGCAGACAAAGAGGAAGACCGAGAATGGCATTCTGTGACCAAATAAAAAGAAAGGTTAATGTGAGCAGTTACAGGGAGGTCAAGGAGTTGGCTATGGACCGTGAGGAGTGGAGGAGGCTACACCGACAAGAGCATGGCTCTTAAATAAAATGAATGAATGTATTATTTATAATAACTAGTGACGGAACGAAAAGGCGTGCGCCTGATGGTAAGCTACACACCTGTCCTTAACAGTTGCAGTGCACTCAAAGCTTTAAATCGCAAAGATTTGAGGGGCACTGCCACTGCGCACGTCACCCTGAGACATAAGTTGACAAAGTCCTATGTGCCTGTAATTTTACCAGCACCTTTACTCTTTAAAACCGGAACGAAGTAATGCTGACATTACTGTTTGGCGGCAAAAATAAGTAAAGTGGCAGTACTTCCGGGATGAACTCTTTCACAAGGCGTTCTACTGCTACTAAAGTGATAGGAATGTTATAAGTAATATGTTAATAACGTAATAACAATGTGACAATAATGTGATTTATTGTAATAGCAATGTGATAGCAGTTTGATAGCACTGTCGTAGTAATGTGATAGAATCGCGTTAGCAATGTATTATTAATGTTTTAGTGATATTATAGTAATGTGATAGTTCTACTGCTTCTTGAAATATCCACCCTTCTCCAGTTTAAGGTATATTAAAGATTTTCGATCAACTGACGTTGCATCAAGAGATGTGTTATGCGTCAAGACTTACAATAATCGTTCTCTTGTAACTTGTGTCACATTCTCGCAGTCAGTCAGCGCCGCAAATAAATTAGCCCGCATTACGCGGTTTCCGCTGATCTTTGGCCAAGCAAGCCACGTTGAATCACATTGTAACATTTTAATGGCATTCTATGTTCTGTGGCTTGCTTTAATGACGTCATTCTGCGGTTTCACTTGGTATATGGTGACTATTTGTTATAGGTAGACGGACAATTCTAGTCATGTCCATTAGACACACAAGAGGGAACAACGTGAATGAAAATTTTGGTCTAATAAGTTGACGAAAATCTCACTTTTGTCAATGAAGTAAATGAATGGTAGGATTTATGGAAATATTTGTTTGTACTGAAAGATATTGATATTTATCAATCAGCCAATTAAAATACGCGATGGAATCAATCAGTGATTAAAGAAATTATTACTAGAAGTTATAGATGCAATCAATAAAACTGTTGCTACCATCATTGTACTAGATAAGCTCAGAACATGTCACATGACACAAGTTTTTTTTATCAACTCGAACAAGATTTGGTTGTAGCGGATCACATTGTTTTTTTCAGTGCGCCCTTTTTATGTAGTAAAAACTGTTCATTTTCGGTCTTTCTCACTCTGCCCCTCCAATATACCTTCAACCATATTTTGTATTATAGTCATTTCGTACACATCTACTATTTCTGTTAATCCAACCAACGAACATTATGCCATAGTATAATAAGTCAAGTAGTGTAACTCCAAACAAGCAGCCGTGCTGGCATAAGTGTGTGCACGCCACATCGTGTACGGAAGCACACGTTCGTATAATCTCGCGATGCACTCGAATTGTACAGCACGGGATCTCTCACGCGCCATTCATTATAAAATTGAAATGTTCGCTCGGTGTTTAAAATGTTTAAAATATTCTTCCATGCAACGATTTTTTTTTATAAATGTATGATTATTTATACGAACTTGTATTTTACTTCTATTTCACGATCATACTTCCAGAATCGAGTTACTAATACGCGACACTTTAACAATGTGACAACCCTACTCGGACAGCAACGTGTAGGCATACGCGCCGAACAGGTGGGAGTTACACTATTTGTTTTGTTAACCAATCCTTATACTAACCTTGCAATGGTGATCGTCACCTATAAACTTTTGCTAAGTAAGTTTCCAATGTGTTGCTAACCATGGGGCATAAGATTTTTTTAATCAGTCAAGTATTGATAGGCTTACTTGACTAAAGTCAATGTTTTTTCAGTGAGGCGTTTACTACACTAACAACTGTTGATGAGTACGTGGTTTCATTATAATTACAAACAACATTACCCCTCGCTTCTTTAAGAATATAATGCGAAGACGTTTTAAATTTCCCCTCCCCAGTGCAAATGAATCGTGCATAGAATGAGTTCTTTATCTCATTAGATATCCTGTTTCAGACGTGGTACCTACATCCCCTTCAGGTGATACAAACGTAATGCAATTAACGATCTTTGCGAGCTCAAAGTTATTGACGACGGACTTAGGGCGTTTCTAGATGTGATTTCATTGGAAAGACACTTACCTCGCAAATTATGTTTTAGTACCATTATATTCGTCAATGTTTTGTGAAAATACTCCACTAGTTTGTTATGCAAAAATCGTATAAATATAAAGAATTTTTTTCGTTCCTCGACGAGGCAACAGACGTAGGTTCGAGCACAGTCACAGTACAGTAATTCGATACGAATCATTTTGCTATTCACACTGTATCTTACAGGGATTACAGCTTTTTTTTTATTTGAAGGTTAATTTAATAATTGTTTAATCTCAGCTATGTTTCGTGAACATCGGTTCAGATGTTTAAAGAACTTTAGCTTTCGATTTTTGGAAAAGTTGAAACTTCCTAGATTTCCAACAAATAAAATTAGAGTTTCATAACTCTTATCGTATCTTAAAAAAAATACTTTATATCGCTCTCCTATAATTTTTTCCAAATGCACGTTAGACGTCTTGCCTATCCAGTGACGATATATTTCTAAAATACCGGTCAATAAAAAATATTTATATATTTCAAATTGATGGTATATTCGTACATAGTTGTAGGAGTTTTATTTCACAAAGGAAACATAAGAGATTATTCTCGTACACATTTTTTTCTTTCTTTATTAAATCAAATAGCTTTTATCGACTCAGTACAATAAAAAT